TGGGTGCTTTGTTGGGCTTCATGCAATTGACTTGTCAACTTGATTTCAGCCATCTATGACACCTTGGAATTGACGAAGTTAATGTGTTGGATCTTGTGCCGATGGCACTGCTGGTTTTGTTGCTGATGAGCAGTCAATGTCTGCAAGAGTTGCTCAAAGTGGTCCGACCATCATTTTTTTAAAACTGATCAATTGGGTCAGTAAGTAACTGGCCAGCTCTATCCTTGAGAGGCATTCTTCTCTATGCTCTGGCACCACTTGGATGTTGCGAGATGTATAGCAAGCCATTTGCAGCAGCGTTCTCTCCCTCCTCAGCTAGAGAGTTAACCTGGATATTTCATATTGGCTTCCAGCAGCAGGGTCCTCTCAGAAGAGGAGTGCTGTCATCACAAGGGGAGACCAGCCAGCAAGGGACAGTCTGCATTAGTGGTTCCCTACATCCAGGAACCTGTGCCGGTAAGGGACTTGGATGATGTACTTGGGTTAATATAACCTGATTCATCAGGTAAGAACAAAAAAAAATGTACTCCCTGAAATATACCAGAGTTTCCCTTTCGTGTATGTTGCTTATAGATGTATGGAAGTTGTATAGGGGAAAAGGGGAATTGCCAGGTTTTGTTGAAATGAGTGCAAACATATGCTTGTGTAATTTGGTGTAAGGTATGAATGAGCCTCATTTCTCTCACGTGAACGGGTTTTAGTTCACTTTTCTGTTCCTGTTCAGTTTATTGGTGGTGACAAACCCTTTAATAGCCTTATTCAACTTTTACACATTGTTCTCCAGTACATCGATTAGGGGATCTGCATACTAACCCATCTCTGAGTTATGTTTTTTCATCTTCTGGAGGCTGGCTCAATGAGTGACTCAACAGTACCATCTGCTGCTTGCCTGCTTTGCTTTTGGACTCTGTGTAAGAATGTGTATCATGTTTAAAATTTCCTATAACTCTTTGCCCACAAGAACTCAATGGGGGGAATTGAATTGTTTCTAATGTTTTCCTGTTTGTTCACCAAATAAATTTTTATTTTTTAATTAAAAAAAAACAAAAAAAAAACCATTGAGAAACTTGTGTTTAGGAAACTGATACAGAAGTCCCAACAAGTAAGAGCTTTTCTCAAAAACCATGTAAGGTGAAATGGAGTTTAGAACGTCACCTGCTTCCTGAAAGCCATAAATATTTGTTGTATGTGACTAAAATATTTTTACATTATGAGGTGGACTTTTATTTTTCATCCTGAACTTTTTAAATGAAAACCTATAAAACACTTTAGATTCCTGCCAACCCAGGGTTTTGCAGGGAGCCTGCAATGACAACGTTTTTAGTTTGTTTGGCTTGTGAGAACTTGCAGCTGGAAGAAAATAAACAGATAAATCACTGAATGGGGAGGAAATGAAAGAATCTCAGAAACAAAGCTGTGGCAAGATGTTGCAATACATAACTAAATAGTGAACTTGCTAGTTCATGTTTGAGTTTTCGCATTTCTTTTGGTTTTAAAGTGGACATGTACCCAGGCTAGGGACATTAAAGCAGACTTTTCACTAAAATTGCAACGTCTGCTTATTTAGTGTGGGGGCCTTCCCCCTTCTAAAACACTGCATTAAAGTGTATGTAAACCTATGGATAAACTTCTTGTATTTGCTTCCTATAGGTGTGTTTTTGTCTAAGTGCCAAAAAATACCTGTTGAATACCTGTGCACAGGACATTGAGAAATGTCCTGTGCACACTTCCTGTGTTTATTTCAAGAAGGGTAACTAGCCCTCCCAATTCCTATATTACATGGCAGAACAATTAAGCTTGCCATACACCACTCATATTTCAGGTGCACCAACGTATGAAAATGATGATTGTTCTACACATGTCCAGTATCGCTGCATGCGCCAGAGTAAGGGCAGTAGTTTTCCAGCCTAAATATTACTGGTTTACTCTAAACTGATAAAAGGGCTTCTATTTATTTTAAATTAAAAGTTGAATTATTTTATTATATTGGAGTATATAATTGGATTATATTTTATTGGATTATATTTTAAATCCATAAAACTAATTTAGATGTCTAATATACAATTATTAAAACCTTTTTTTTTTTTCCATTATTATTTTGGCCTGACAAATTCTGCTGCAGGATGTGTTGTGCTGCCATTCATTTCAATGGCATCCCAAACGCGCCTCCCAGCCCCAGTGTGATCGTCCACACTGGAACGCACGGAACTGCAATGCCGTGCGTTCCAGTGCCGTGCATTTGCCAAAAATGTGCATGCAGTTTTATTCTGAAGTAAACTTTTGTTACTCCCCATTTGTGTATTTCATTTTAAATCAAAGGTGGTGTTTAATTTTACAAAATGTTTTTTTCCCTTTTTAACCGATTTTAATTAAAAAAAATCTTGTCAACTAATTTATGAAAATAATCGTTAGTTGCAGCCCTAGTTCCGATTGTGTGCTTGGTTCCATTGGTCTCTTACCCACACCGATCCATATAAAGGCAACCCCCTGGAAGTCTGTTCCTTCCAACTGATCTCCTACTGCAAGTATCCTTCATCAGGAGCAGGGAATGTCTAGGGACTCTGTAGGACCTGTCCACCTGGGGTCAGGCCCCTCTTCCTTGATTCAGTTTTATGAGAAAGGCCTCTCTGGCTCTATTCCCTGTTCTAGATTAAGATAAATGGGGTAAAGTCCCCCTGTCCCTTGTTCCATGGATGCTGCTGCCTTGTTGGATCAACGGAGTCTGGAGTAGAGCTGCAACAGTTAATCGATTTTAGTCGATTAAAATCGACGATTGAAAACGTTGGCAACGTTTTCGATCGTCGATTCGTCGGCTAATCTTTTTGTTCTCTTTTTTATCCGATTAATCGAACTTAATAATCGGCCAACTAATCGATTATGAAAATAATCGTTAGCTGCAGCCCTAGTCTGGAGCATTCTTAGCCTTGTGACTCTTGAAATCGGTTATAAGCAGGATTCTTTGTTCAGCAGGATTCCTCTTGGTGCTTGCCCCAGAGGTGTCTCTTGCTTACTGCTGAGTGTGACATCAGCAGCTTCATCAGGGCTGTACAGGTTTACCCAGTTTATGGCCAGACTTTAATGTCCTCTCTTGCCTGTCCTTGTTGAGGTGTTTTTCCGCGCACCCTAGTCTTTCGGTCATGCTGAATTTTTCGGACCAAATCCTGGGTTCTCTTTGACTTAGTCATTTTAAAACATTTTATAGGCTGTCCGTCCTTCTTTATTTTCAGGGTTCTCCCCTGGTGAATCTTACCTCACAAGTGGATGGCTCAGTGTCTCGGTACGGAGTTTAGTTCACCCTTATGGATTTAGGCGAGTAGTGGCTTAAGGCCCTCCTATGTGGACTGACTGTTCCTGCTATTTGCGTGCACTTTTCCCAGGTTCCTTGTCTGGTACCTATTTCTGCTAATGTCTTGATCCCGTTTTTCTTTTTTATCATTGTTTTGGTAAATCCCCCCCCCCCCCCCACCCCCCGCATGGTTTGGTGTGGTTTTATGTAATTCACTAAGATATACATTTAAAAAAATCATTTTGAACCCCAATTGATCAATTTACTAATAACCAATATAAAATCTGGATTGTATTACTGATAACCGATACACAATCTGAACAATATCCCTTCATCACACAAGTGAAAACTCCATCAAACCCTGCAAATCAATTTTGTGTAGTATTCGACATTTTAAACCTACACCCCTCAGAAAAATCATACTTGGCTGTCTATTTGCAAAATAAATGTATCCTTTGATCTGTTTTGGTGATTGAGTAAACTTTTCATCTAAGGGGAGGTTGAGGCTCAAGGAAAGCTTTCTGGGCTGATGTACTGAATGAGTTAAGGATTTTTACACAAATTGTAACATGCAGATGAAATAACAGGGATTTGTTTTTTACATGATTGGGGCAAAGTATGGTGAAATATAAAACAATTCTCCCTGGAGCAGTATTTTTAATATAGGCAGGACTATTACTGTATAGAAAATGTGTGAATCCT